CCCCGATTTGGGAGAAGAGGCTGAAAGTGATTCAAAGGCTTTCTGGACAAGTGTTTTGTTTGGGTGCCTAAATTGTTTCCATACCTTCTATGTTCTGATTTATATTTATATGATTTCAATGCATTTAAATGCTTCTTAAGTTCACGTAAGCAGCCAGCTTTTGTCTAGTGTCATGTGTCATGCCCTAGTCACAGGGTAAATCTCCCACAGCTGGGAATAGGATTTATATTTCCTCACTTAGTGTAACGCTTTGACTCCTGAACTGTGCTGCTGCTTCTTTCTCGTCCATAGCTTTGAAAAATCTTCCCTTTTCTCCTAGTTCAGTGTTGTAACTACTAGTTTCAGTTTTACAAATATTTGCCTACTGTGTAAAAATCCTGTAACAACTCACGCCCAAATTCTCAGGAACGTAACAAACGGTCGTGATACCCTCTTTGCTCCTACTGTTATAGCTGTAAAAGTAAATAAAAGGTATGCATGCGTAGCAACTTTAAATGGGTTTGGAGCAACTCCCGCTGCAATGAACACCAAGTAGCGTTTCTGTAGTTCCAGAGCCAAGGCCTTGCAGGTACTTACATCAGGCAGTGACATGACAAAATCATGCAGCTGAGCCTTCTGGGCTGCTTCTATGACTTTTTCCATCATCATTTCTTTGGTGTTACTGCCATATTTGATATTATCAGCAATGCTGCAGTCAAATAGCACAGGCTCCTGGGACACTATTCCAATTTTGGATCTAAGAAACCGTACATTTATTTTCTTGGTGTCATGTCCGTCTATTAGCTGCCAGGAAATAGGAGAAAACTTGAAACATCATTCTGAAACAACAGCCTGCGAAACCCGAATAGTTTATAGCAAAACTAAATGATTTAGCCATATTACTAAAATGCAAACACACCTGATTTAAAGTGATTTGAGGAATCTGCTTATATTTGACTCCTTTGTGCATGATGTGTATTTTCTGGGTATGTCTGTGATTCAGCCAAACACTGGATCATTTGCTTAATCTTAATGCCAAGTGAACTATTTAATTGCTTAAGGTTAGGCACATGCTTTGTTGCCTGCCTGGCATAGTGATCACCACACTTATTTTTTCCAAAGAAAGAGAAATCAGACTCGATGGTTAAGTATTTGCATGAGGAAAAGATATAAAAGCTTTTTAAGCTGTCAGTAATTGAATAACTGGAAGGTAAATCTAGACAAATTCAACCTGCAAAGAAGCTGCATGTTGATGCTATATATTTAGGGATGTTCCATACTCTCTGTTGCTCCATTCAGACTTGTTTTTTGCTTGTGCTCCCACAATGTACGCCACACATTATGTGTTTCATACAGGAGCTGTGGAGGTGAATACCTATGGCCTACATAATGCACACAGGTACACCTGAGGCATGTAGTGTTCTGATCTTGCCTGAAAACGTTGGAGATGATACTCAGGAATTGCCCGAACAGTCCACAATTTTTCGAGAAGGAGCTGAAGCCCCAAGTTGTTTATGAACATGCCACCACTGCTAGGCTGCACAGTAAGACACATTCAGAAAAGCCCTTGCAGCACTGCTGAAAACAACAGCACACAAACCACCCTTCCTTTGCTTACCACGCTTCCTGTCTCAGGGTCATAGAAACGCTCTAGAAGCTGGACACTGGTGCTCTTACCACAGCCGCTACTTCCAACAAATGCCAAAGTCTGTCCAGGTTTAACAGCTACAGAGAGGCCTTTCAGGACCTGAATATCAGGCCGAGAAGGGTATGTGAATTTACAGTTAAGAAATTCAATGCTTCCCTTGAAATCATCCTGGCGAAAAAAAAATATGAGAAAGATGCTACAATGAGCTCGAGCTTAAAACTAAGTTGCAAAGAACAAAGTAACTCCTCCTCAGATTCCATTCTTGCATCTCTTATTTAAAATATGACATTTGTGCTTGTGAAATTAGCCCAGAAAGAGGGATCAAAACCCTGGAGTAGCTGTCCTAGAGATGAAACCATTAGGCGTAATGCTATTGCTCTGCTTATACTTCCCCATACTGCACTGATCAGAGGCATCAATTGGAAATAGCATTGCCTTGCAAATGTTTTTTTTTATTATTATTTTAATACAGACACTGTCTAAGTGTAAATTTGGTGATAGTCCAAATACATTTGTGCAAAAAAACTGGATTTGGTAAAAAAAAAAATAAAATCAATTGAACTTTGCAACATTAAAACAGTACATGAAGTCAGGTCAGTTTTCCCAGAACTCTTAAATAGCTGTTTTACAAAACTCTGAAGGTAATCAAGATGCTTCATAGTTTAAGCAAAATACTTCATGTATTTAGTTCCTAACAATTATGTCAAGTTTTCATTTAATTCTGAAAAAAATAAGTTAAATGAAAAATAAACTATTTGAATCTTCTGGGTCTGACTTTTCAATTCACAAAAAATTGAGCATTTTCATTTTGTCTGACTCGAAGATGATTCGTCTCCTCATGAACACCCCCAACATTTTGATGTGAGTGGAAAAAAAAGCCTCCATTATAAGCTAGCGATAGTCAGGTTTATGTGCGAACTGTCGAGCAGATAGAAAAAACATGCTATTCTGTGAGTCATCTAAATTGGTCCTATTCCAATTTACAGGAGTTTTACACTGACAAACTCCTCATAGTCACACTTAATATTACTCTTGCTGTCTAGTCCAGAGCTTGCTGCTTGCAAAAGAGCAAAGACAAGTAACAATTATACAATCAGCATAACCTTCTTGTAAAGCAGTGATCCTCACTGACTTATAAATCATTAGTGCAACATCAATGCTTATATTGAGCTGAAAGACATCACGAATTATTCCTCTTTGCTCTTACCCATTTTTCCCCTTTTTCACTGTAAACACTGATTTTAGGAAGCCGATCGATCAGTTGGAAAAAGCGTGCAGCAGATGTTTTGGCTCTGGCGTAGTTTGGGGTATAGGAAGAAGCTCTTCCCAAAGCAGTTCCACTGGTCACAATAGCAGAGATCACCCTGTGGGGAAGGGGGACACGGTCATGCTTGGGAAGCCATTGGGAAACTGAACGCTACACCGAGGCCAGCACTCCTTGGGAGGAGCCCGTTTCTGACTCCAGGCAGGCTCTCACCTGAACACAAGGCTGTAATGGAGTCCTTCAGTGTCAACTAGAAACCCACCATATCTGTAAGAGACAGCGTTGGCGATGAACACTATGCTCTGGGCAAAGCCAAAGCAGAGTCCGTAAACGTGTGCTTTTTTGATTGCACCTCTATAGGGCATATCCAGATGCTTCTCAAAGTTGTTGATAAACTTTTCCCTATGCCAGCTACAGTCCTGATGTTAGAGAGGGCTTCACTGGCAATCTGGAGGAGGGGGAAAAAAAAATAATTGTAAAAGCTCCTAATTTTTACTTGGAAAAGTAGAGTGTACTCTTTCACAAGTGCATTATTCTTTCATGAACACAGGGCACTAATACCATATATAAATTCATTCAGATATGATACAGGCTGGCCCAAATATCAGCCAACCTAAAGAGAAACTTTCCTACAAGCAATTATCTACTAACATCTTCAATAGTAATGCTCCCTCTGCTCTACTAGAGCTAAGTTACTGTAAGGACACTTAAGAAATTGGGCACGCACTATCACTTGTGACTTATTTCACGTAATGTGAATTAACAGGACATCCACAAAAGCAAAAATGGCTTTAGAAACACTGTTATTTCATTGATTGCATGCATTTATTAATTAAATACATTTAAATCAATTATTTTATTTGTTTTACTTATAACAATAGTCACGGAAAGAGTTAGAAGGGATGCTACCCCCAACTTCTCTTTCATAAATTAAAACCACTTGAATTTACAACATTTCCTGCTCACTTTCCTTCTTTCTCTTGTTTATGTCCAAAAAGCCTGATGGGATGAAACATATAAATGGAGGGTGACACCTTGATTCCTCTAACACCAGTGACACAATTTCTAGGATTTTTACCTTGAACATAGGCACAGACTAAGCAAATGTTTGCCTATGTACATAGAAAAATGCAACACAGGAAATTATGAGATAATCCCCACAGAAACTTCTCTGGAGCTTTAATTAATTGTAGGCTTTATATTGTGCTTTGTTGCCAGTCAGAATTTGGGTTTCTGTCCCAAAAAAAAGCACTACAGTTTCATCTACAATTTCATTAAGAAACTGTTTTAAAATGCTGTAGTTTGCCTGGACTTTGATAGTAGCTTCATAGTGTGATACTTTAATTTGAGAATCAATAGTCTGGTATATGGCTTATGAATGTTTTCAGCATGTAGGAAGAGATCTGAATAGAGATCATCATTAAAAATATTCCATCCAATTTCAAGGTTTTTTATCTGGCCAGAAGTAAGAGGCAAACCTCCTGCATTATCATACAATGTGAAACAGCAGGTAAGTAGGTACTGCGAATTGGATTGTTCAGACTGCGCTTTTCCATGTTTAGCATGGCTGATGAGCAATCACTGTGGAAGAACTCAGCGTGTTTAACATTTGGATGCGGTGCTGGCAAATAAATTAGAAAATAACACCAGACACAATTAGTCATCGCCAAAACTGCTGAAGCATTGAATGCCCTTTTCATCCCAGCCTCTTGGTCATTCTGTTGAATAAAAGCTGATGCCTTGACTCATTAGTGAAGTTTCTGTCCTTGTCAAGACAGTATTTTGGTTTATCAGTTTTTGTAAATAATTAAACCATTCTGAGTGTGGGCAATTGGTCAGGTCTTAACTCTTCCTTGGTTTGCCAGAATTGAAGGTTGTTCCTAACAGCACTCAACAGTGGCCCGTAAATGTATCCATTTGATTCAGTGATACTGAAGTCAAGTGATACTAATTCATGTAATACCTTTTGTGCATTTAAAAAACCCCCAAAAATTTCCAGAAGTCTGCATAGGTAGGTAGTCAACATGATTTTTTTAAGTTCTATGCCCCCAGTCATGACAGGCTTCTTTAAATCACACCCAGAAATGGGAATTGGGAGCTGAAGATTTGCTTCTTCGGGAAAAGTCAAAAGCTGGGGGGCTGGCAGCACAAGCTAGCTAGAGCAGGCAATGGGAAAGAAACAGCCAGTAGACGCAGAGCTGAACAGGGCAGAGGGCTCCAGTCCATGTGTTTGCTGCAAAGATTAAGGTCAAGAGGAGGGAAGGTTCAGATGGTGCAGGGTGGATGGTGGGATGGGTAAGACGTTTGCTGGGCAGGACTTTAATGTAGGAAGAAGGAGGATTGGGAGGAACTCTGCAAGAATCATTTTAGGCTGCATTAAGGTAGCTCTGCAGATGGAAAATCTGAGGCTTTGAGAGGACCTGCAAAGCTTACTTCTTGTGATGCTAGAAAGATGGCAGCCTAAAAGCAGGGGAGAAGGCTCAGACATTACTCTGAGCGAGGTAACCTGAGGTAGTCTTTCTCATGTTGCCTGTCTTCTAAGTCCCCTGTCTTTCTGGTGCAGTTCAGTGCCTGCACAGTTGAACTAGGTGTATTTAAACAGTACCAGGCTCTGGGTCATGTGCCAGAAGGTAGTGACCCAGAACTAAGGTCAAAGGAGTATGAGTGTTTCAAAGGCAGCAGACCTGCAAAGGTGTGAACTTGTGTTTTTTCCTCTCTCTTGTGTCCCTACCTCTTCCTTCTTTGGTACATGGACTGGAAGTCTGCTCAGCCAGTGCAAACTACATAAACCTATTCTCAGCCTTTGAGGTGAGACATTTTTCAGGGTCTTGTGGCCAACGGAGCATGGGATGCTGCTAACTGTGATACTGGAGCTAGAGTAACAAGCAGAAGGGCTTTAGCCAAGAGTTACTAAACACTGGATGCAATCTTTCCAAGGAAAGGGATTTCCTTCCTCATGTCCCATGCTGGTTGGTTTAATACTCACATGAGTTTTCACTGTGTAGGAAAATCTAAACTATTATGAGAAAGTGCTATGTCTCCTGTTACAAATTAACAGAGAAAGGGTTAATGCTTATCTGAATTAAAAAGAAAAATTATATACTAACTGAGAAATAAGAATTAATAGAATTTTTACCCTTAAAATCCATATATAAAAGTAAAGTTCTGCCTGTGATCTAGCAGCACGCAATGATGGAGAAGCTGGTAAGCTAGTAGGGTCCACTGAAGGAACAATTCTGCTCTTTCTAAAATCCACGTACAGATCTGTGGTTCAGTGCCAAATTCTCAGATATGAAGATTTCTTGGTGAACAAGTATCACTGCTTTCTGAGGACAGCATGATCACAGGGCATCAACAAATGAGTATTAAATAAAACCCAACAAACATGAAGGAGACTGCTCAGAGACATGTGTCTACAAATTAGGTCCAATAACTTTTGAAAAGTCAGTCACATTCCATGCACCAAGTGCTTTTGCAGTTAGGGAGTTCCCAATGGTGTTTCAATGGTTTGACAAGCTGAAATATTACAACTTACTTGCAAAACATTGCTAGTTTCATTACATTTGAATTCCTGATGGTCCCAAATGCCTGATTTTTCAACTACCCGTGACTGCAAATATAAATTAGTTTTTAAATAACGTTACCCTTCCAGCAGCTTCCAGTGCTTTCTTGTCCTGAGAGGCAAATCCTGTCAGCATTTTAGCCTGCACAGCTCCAGATAAGGCCAAAAATGGCAGGAAACACAGTATAACTAAACTCAGCTTCCAACTGAAGTAGAAAGCAATGATCAGGGCCACCCCAATGTTGGTAAAGGAATTGACAATCATTCCTATCTGTGATCCAGTTGCCTATAAAGAAAAGAAACAGAGATGGTGACTTGTACTCCAACAGTAACTTCAATAATCTTTTAATAAATTTTCTTATAAAAACTTTAGAAAACTCTAAATGATATTAAAATATCATAAGGCACCAATGGCTGCTGACTGCACTGGAATTTAGCCAGTTTGGATATACTGTTTCCAATTAATTGCATCAAGAGAAAGACTGCAAATGTCCAATAATCTTTTCATCCACCAAATTTTCCATTGAGAACTCAGAAAATTATTTCTAATGATTGTGAGAAAGATAATCTAACTATTGAAATTAGTTCTCTTGGTACCCTGGGGAATCACTTGTCTGAATAGTCTGTTTAGCCCCCACATTTATCCATCCAGATTTAACTAATTAACAGAACCATTTTGCAAATTAACTATTAACAACAAAGTCTCAGCTGTGCTAAAATCAGTAAGCAGTATCACTGAGAAAGGATGAATTAAAGTTGCATTTCTGCTTGTCTTTTTATTAAGGAAAAATTTTAAATATGCCTTTGACATCATCTTTATTGAATGCATCCATCTTCTCCTTCTGTCCTTCAAGAACACTATTCTTTGTAATAAACTTGATTTATTTACTCAGAAGTTATTTTCTTTCATAGCAGTAACCAGCAGCCCTAGATAGGAACTACATATTAGAAAAAAAAAAAATACATTTGATACCCTTGATCATTTTCAGTCCAATTCATTTGCAGGATGTGAACTTGCAGCACAAAATGTTCATCATCTACTCCTCCTCTGACCTGCAGCAGTAGGGCAAGGTGCCTCGGGTCTGGCCACAATGGAAGGTACAGCCCCCAGCTCTGCAGAGGCTACCAAAAGGAGCAGCCATAGGGCTGCTTGTACCTGACCCCACACACACTCCAAGAGTCTGCTTCATACTCCTGGTGCAGATGCAGACATTTTCAGACCCCAGACATTTGCGTGCATCTTCTTACCTTCAGCTGGCTCCGCAATAGCAGCCATTGGCTAAGTTCTGTATCAGGCAGTGAAAGGTGGAGGACACTGCTGCACACTTTTTCCCCTGGAGTTGTGGGGTGAATGGCTGTGCCCCACTGCTCTACATGTGCTTAGAACAAAGGTGTCCCTTAGGAGGCTATTAAATGGTTTAGTCAGTGTTTTACAAGTTTATTTCAATTAAAATATGCCCCGTTAGTGCCTCTAAGGGCTGAAGAGGTTTGCAGCTGGTTTCTCTGATTCTGTAGAAATTGCTGCTGACAGGGGTTTTGGGAACCTCTTCTCTCATTTGTCTTTTAAATTGTTAGAACCTCCATTAACAGATTTTAAAAAACTAACCTACCATCTTCAGTAAAGTTGAAAGAGGATAATTTTTGTAACAAAGAAATCTATATGTTTCCTTCATTTCTAGAAAATTGCTTGCATTGGAGCCAAGTAAAATGGCACCTGACTCACTTCTACAAACGTATCAATTCAGATAGGTGACATTTACAGCTTAGCATGATTTAACCCTCTCCCCCTAAGGAACACAACGCATGGAGTTAGTGGTTCACTTTCCCAGACAATAAGTCACACTGAACTGGCTGCATGATTTCCAGGCTGGAGCACCAGACAGTACTGTGAACTGTTTTTTCAAGTGGACTGTCAGTTTAAATCAAAACTGTCACAACAAGTACAATACCATGCTGAAAATTGGAAAACATGATTAGTGATGAATGTCACTAAAATACTCATCTGTCATGTTTTTGAAATAAACATGTAAACATTGTGGCAAAAACCGAATTCATCTCCAGAAAAAAGAAATTAAAACTTTTGCACTGGATGCTCCTTCCCGTTCCATTGATGGTTGGTATTTTACTGATTTTTGTGTTCCTATTCTGGTAATATAGGCAGGAATAATGAGCAGTAAATTGTGAGCCTATTTGTGCTTTTGGGCACAGTGATAATAGTTCCACATTGACAGTCTGTGAAAAATAGAACTATCTTAAAGTGACTGACCAAGGACTGATCTACACTGACCTCGCTGGTCACATGCTAGCTAATTTCTGTGACAATGTGCCAAAAACAGGCCTTCAATCAGTCCTTATAGTAAAATGATTCTTAAGCTACCAGGTCTTACCCCTTGGACCTGTGAGGCATCTGTTGCAAGTCTTGTAGTCAAAGCACCAGGGCTGTTCTTCCGGTCATCAAACCACTCAATGTCTTGCCCTAGCATAGCCTGGAAACCAATTTTCCTTAACCGCCTTGTAAGCAGCTCACCAGACTTGGCAAAGGTGTATCCCTGGGGTGCATAAGAATAGATACAAATATTGTATAGAAGGAGATACCCACAGAATAAGGGATCAGAAAAAAAAATTACCCATATTGGACTGCTATTACCTGTAGAAACTGTGTGAAAAATGAAAGAATTCCAACAAAGACAAAGAGCAGGCAGACACCATTGATCTGGATTCTTTGTTCTTCTTCATCAAGAATGGAGAAGGTCTTTGAAAAAAAATGAGTGGCATCATATTAGAAGTGTAAATTTTGCTGTGTGTGAAGTTTGTTCATGACTCCCTATTACCACGTGCAGAAGCCCACCCTAGAACCAAAGCCAGAACACAGAGCTCTCCCTCACCCCTTGCAAAGGCCCGATTCTGTGTTTTTCCTAAGGTGAGCTGGTTAAAACATAATGTTTTTTCATCCTGTTAAACAAGCTTATTATACTCGGTGTCTGCACATACTGCTATTACTTGTTGCTCATCCCTTGTTATAATTAATCAATTATCCCCACACCCTAAACAAGATGCAGCGTGATAACCAGAGAACAGCAATTAAATAAATAGTGTAGTGACAAAGCAACAGTGCAGCAGCTCCCTTACCTCCTCTCTAATCCGTGCCAATTACAACTTTATTGGGCCATACAAAACGAAGTCTGTATAAATAATATACTCTAGCATGACTCTACTTGCACAACACTAATGCATGCTGTAATTGCTATAGGTAGGCTTCAAGAGGAACCTATTGTATTTTACTGAAGGAGTGTGAATACGAGCTATTCACTTACTACTGAGCACTTGAGAAAAAGCATTAGTGCTTAAAGTAGAGCCCCTCGACTCCATTCTGCTCTAGTCTTCATGATATTTTCCTTTTACCTCTTGTTCTTAATATTTGGTCTTTTTCAACACCTGCCAGCATTACTGGCTGCTGCTGAAGTAGTGGTCAAATTTAAGAAGCCATCCTTTAGCAATTCCTTTCAGTCAGAGCAGTTGACATGTAGGTCACGTAACCTACCTGAAGTTGTTAAACTACTTCTGCTACTTGCAGATATAAACCACAGCTCATGTTTGTACTTCTCCACTAACCTTAAATTAATTCTAGTTGGATTTTACAGGTAAAAATTACTATAAATTGACTAATCTCTCCATCTGTTATCTGTAAGTTGTAATTAAAAATAACTTGTGCATTTGAATTTACTTATATCAAAAGCAGCTTAAATTCTGCTAGGTAAGTAGAAAGAAAAAGAGGAATTTTCATTATAGCTGCAAAATATAAAAATTCCATAAAAATAAACTTAAGTGCTAATCTTAAAAGGTCAACTCAAGTTATTTACAGTTCAAAGTGAGCTAGGCATCAAAGTAACAGAGAGGAATTACAGCATGAATTTGAGAAAAAGAAATAGCTGTTCTCTAGTGGGAATTCCACTTTAAGTATTTTAACTTTGTTCATCAGTTCCTTGGCAACAAAATAAGTCCTGCAAAATCCAAAATGATAATATCAAAACAGCACTTAGTGTTTCAAGCTAAGAGCTGTTTCAATGCCATGCTGTCTTATCAGTAGCAAGACGTATTACATTCTCAGATGAATCTTTGTTTAAGAAAAAAAAAAATCACCAGGTACGTTTTAATCTGTCAGAATGAGAACAAAACATGCAATGGTCTGCTGCTATTCCTATCCCCTTAATGAAATCCACTGTACATTCAGTAATTCACATTTAATCCTGAATTGAACAGGCTATGAGCATATTTCATCTATCTTTGTAACGTATGTATCTAGAAAAGATACTACTATTTTTGTTGGTTTTGGTTTTTTTTTCATGTAGGAAATACTCTACTTAAACATTTGGACTGAATGAGACACAAGGTGAACTCGGTGCATGCATAAACTGTGTCCTATGAGGATTCTGGATTTTAGAATTGCTGTGATGGTATTTTCTGTATCATCATGGTATGCAATATTTAGACATGAATGGGAAAATGCACTTCATAGTAGTGGTCATGCCACATGCATAGTGAGCCTAAAACACGACCAGGGAAATAACTACTCATCATTGTGAACAGCTGTTAACATGTATGTCATGTTAATTACAGTGCTGTGGTGCTTTTTCATATGAAAAACATCAACAAAATCTCTGTTAAAATGAATAGAAATTCTAATGAGTAAAACTAATAAACAGTATGATAAACACAGTATGTGATGGATCATAATAAATACATAGCTGTGAACTGTGATGAAAAACACTACTGTCCAGAGATGCTGATGGTTTTTTCACATGTGAATTCCATACTGTCTCTGCACAGTCATCCAGAAACCCTGCGATGGCCCCATACACGGGTTGAACTTAACATTTTTTCTTATCACACTTTGACATTTTTCTCTCTAGTTGAATAAATAAATAGCAAATATAAGACTGCGCATTGAAAAGAGAGGTAAACACTGGCCCTACAACCCTACAGTGAGTCCCACTGAGTATTTATCCTTGTTATAAATAAACTTTTGTTGATTGCTTCTATATGGCTAGACGGTAGGCAAGATTAAGTAGGAGTCTTCATTTCAAGAAAGTGAAAGGTAACACAGTCCCTGATTTCAGAGAGGCTGGATCCATATCCATGCTTATGAAAACTTAAACTATCCCATTCTGCAGCTATGTCAACATGCTCAGCTATGGTTTTAACCTATGTTCTCGATTTAAAAAAATAACACTGATTACTGTAACATGTAGCATAGACAATAGGATCAAGTCTACAAAAAGAAAGAGTTGTTGCTGAGGTGTCTGTGTTCAGATTTTGTAAGTGTCAGCAGTTTTAGCATGTACTATCTTTTGTCTGGGGCCATGGGCTACATGCCCAATAGCAGTAGGAGCACATCTTCCAGTTGAGTTTCACTGGAAAGGATCAATTTCCCATACTCTAAGACAGTTGCACAGTGGGAACCAAAGCACAGTAAGAAGAAACTACTGAGAAATTTGTTCCAAAGGTACACTTCTGATCTGAACTGATCAGAAGACATATCCAGTATTATCCAGTTCTTCATTCACTTTTTGGGATTAATTTCTGAGAACCTTCAAGGCAGGCGTCCCTAAATTTACCCTTTCATTTCATAGCTGTGGGGATTTTTCCCCTCACTTCCTCAGTATATTGGTCCCAGAGTACAAGCCCACGTGTCTGTTACAACATCATTGCAGATATTCAGACAGCTTGGAAAACAGATGCATATTCCATCTGGCTGACTACCTTGGCACCAGGCAGAAATGTTTTAAATTTAAGAATAATGAAACACAGATGCTAGACTTTGCTCATGTTCATTATGGCTTGTTTTTTTCTTGCAGTCTCTCTCCTTTGATGGACTGAGACCTTCAAGAGAATGAATTCATCCTTGGCAATGAAGACATTTTGCATCTTGTAAGATGACGTCAGCCCCAGACCTCCCAGGGTCTAGAAAACATCTCTCAAAAGGAAACAAAGGTAAGATTCATTGCAGAATGCACACAGCAGTGTCCCACTTGCTGTCCAGTGAAAGTCATAGTCCTTGTCATGATGTCTAGACACTCAGTGCTTAGAGGTAGCATACCTATGGCTAAAAGGCTAAAAGGCCAAGACCATTGGCCAGGAGCCACTAAGTGGATCAACATGGATTGGAACGTCTTTTGCTCTGCCCCTCTCTGGATCTTAGCTAGCAAACATCAAACTGGAAGTAAATGTGGTTCAAAGTCCTGAGTAACTTCCCAGAGAGAAATGTCTAAGCCAAAACAATCCCCCAAAGAAACAAACAGCAAAAGGTCAATGTTTCTTTTGATATATTGCTGGCACTGCTATTAGGAGCATTTTCTCAATCTCAACCACCAATTAGTGATAGCTCAGATGCTGGGGTTTCTTTCCTGCCTGAAAGGTTTCAGACTTCCAGTTTCTAGAAGAGTGGCTGCCCTTTAGGTCATATATTCTTTGCACACGTATGTACTTGCCATGACCTAAACAAGTAAGTAGGAATTGCAAAACAAGTTTTATCCTGTCTCAGGTGAGTACCCAAATCACAAAATGATAGTGGAGTTCCCATTTTCTTCGCAGTGAATGTGTCATTACTTTACCCAGTAAGAAACAGCATCAACAGAGGGGTTTTCTCTATCTTCCTAATTTTTGAAAATTTAGGACACTTTCCTAGGCATTAGTTAGAGCAGCGCTGAATTTCTTCAGGCAGCCCTCCAGTTTCCCTCTAACTTGGCAAATGTTTCCCCAAAAGGCTGTTTTACAAAACGGGAAGCATCCTTTTTCTATTACAGCAAGTTTTTGAAGGAAAAAACAGTCATGGTTGAACTTTTGAAAAGTTTCAAACGAGGCTGTGGATTTTGATGGTAATGCATCCGTCAGTGAAGGCCAAAGTTTAAAGCACATTCATATAAGAGCGACAAAGCTGGTGAAGGACCTGGAGAAAAAGTCTTACGAGGAGCAGCTGAGGGAGCTGGGTTTGTTTAGTCTGGAGAAAAGGAGGCTGAGGAGACCTCATCACCCTCTACAACTACCTGAAAGGAGGCTGTAGTGAGGTGGGAGTTGGTCTCTTCTCCCCAATACCTAGCGATAGGGCAAGAGGAAACTGTGTCAAGTTGCGCCAGGGGAGGTTCAGGTTGGACATTAGAAATAACTTCTTCACTGTAAGAGTCATTAAGCATTGGGAATGGGCTCCTCAGGGAGGTGGTGGAGTCACCATCCCTGGAGGTGTTCAAAAAACGTTTAGATGTGGCGCTTCAAGACACGGTTTAGTTGGTTTAGCGGGCATGGTGGCATCAGGTATATGGTTGGACTTGATGATCTCTGAGGTCTCTTCCAACCATAATGATTCTATGATTCTATGATTCCTATTTCCTGCTTGTCTTCCAAACTTGTTGATGCAAGCATACTTTTTGCTGGCAGCTATGAACCCTGTTACAACTAACTATCTCTCCCTGGGCATTCTGCAGGGAGCAGGTAGCAAAGAGCTGCCTGAAATATATGAACAGAAAAGTGAAGTATTTTTTGGATCTTATTCAAGGCTTTCTCAAAGGTTTGGCCAAGTCTGTAAAATAAAATTCTGCAGGTAAGGACTTTTGCATGTCTCTCTCTCCACTGTAGCTGCACATGAGGTACATCTTGTCTCGTCTAAAACAAACTGTATGCAGTATAGAAACCCACTCCCAACAGTTCCTGGAAAATGAACAAGAGAGATAATGAAGAACACATGACAAATGCTAATGAGCCCACCCCTTCAAAGAGCTCAAATTATAGTGTGATGACAGTGATATAAAAACCTCTACTGAATAATTGCTTATAGGCAAGAAGGCTAACCCCATTTACTTGATGAAATCTAAAGATTTGCCCAAAACATGTCAAGTTCTGCATCATACATTCACTCCCCTCTGCTTCAGAGCTAAAATACACTTTAAAATGTTAGCATAACATACCCCAAGAATCTGACTGAATAACAAAGCATAGAGTGGACTGACTGCTCCATTCACAGCTGCTGCCAGAGATCCAAGCACCATGTATGGCCATTCAGAGGCATTGTATTTCAAAATTCTGGTAAATGGTACAGGCTTGACATCTTCCTCCACAACAACAGATTCCTAAAAAAACAGGATTTATGAAGCAAACGTATTCCCCCAGTGATGTTCTCCCTTTGACAAGGAGATAAAATAGTAAGCCTGGTCTGTTAAATGGCCATCTCATGCCCAAACAGCTGCTCTAGCTTTGTACAGGAAGGGGAAATGATGGGTCTGGGATGCTGTCTGGAGGTCTTTTAGCTGGCTAGGGAGTCATGAGAGGGTTACACAAATGACTACCTTTACTGTCCCTGGAGAGAAAGAGAGTGATTCATGCCGCATGCAGCTCTACTGATCCAACTTAAGAGGTTAATGATGACCAGTTTAAGATTTTCTTCCACTGAAACTCAGGCTGTTCTCTTTTTGCTGCCTCCAGATGAGGTGTGATGCAATACTCAGTGCCAAATTTAAACTTCTTCCTCACAAATGGCTTTTTGTGTCACTCACAGAATCTTCCTAAATATTATTTTAAAGTATCGTGGGAGAACACACTGATCAGACTCTGCACCAAGTTAACAGGTATGTGATATAATTAAAACAATGGAGATCTCAGAGTGGTAGCTGGATTCAGGCTTTATACATGCTAATTATGCCTCCCTTCTGTGAAACATTCTGAGACTATATGCTGAATTCCCGTAATTATTCCCAGTAAGAGCAGAATATTCATCATCAAATTATAACTTACCCTGCAGTTTATTTTGTGCAGAATTTTTGTAACATTCAGTGCGCTAAGCCCAGCTCATCTCCCTCAGTTCATATGGCTGGAAATACCCAGACAAAACAGACACTGTGAGGACCTATCTGCTGGAAGTGTGCAGGAATGGATGGGTGGAAGCATCTTCTACTTTCTCTTCCTTCTGAGCTAGTGCCAGAGTGACAGCACTAAAGCTCTCTATTCAGACTCGACATCAGAAAGAACAACTTCACTGTTAGAGTCATTAGGCATTGGAATTGGGCTCGCCAGGGAGGTGGTGGAGTCACCATCCCTGGAGGTGTTCAAAAAATGTTTAGATGTGGCGCTTCAAGACATGGTTTAGTGGGCATGATGGCATCAGGTATATGGTTGGACCTGATGACCTTTGAGGTGTCTTCCAACCATAATGATTCTATGATTCTATTTATCCACAAAATAGGCTTAGCAATAGCAAGAACAGTGACTTCTAACTGCTGCTTTCTGCACTGAACAACCGTAACCATGCAAATCAGTGCAGGGAGCTTCATAAGCACTTTGGAAAACCACTGTGTATATTCCTACATATTCTGCATAATTTTAAGGCATGCTGTCTTTATTTTCTATGCCAGTTGATTGCACAAGGACACTGTCAGTGAAAGGACTCTGGGTTAGGTTGCAGTGAAGGTCTCCTTTTACCCAAGTCTCCAGATGATTTTGAGACAAAAGTGAATTTACTCTTTATTGAACAAGAAGCAGTGTCATTTGTATCATGGAGTAGCTATTACTTTTCACAGACTGAGCATTTTGCCTTTTGTCAGTTGATTCAGCTTTTATGAATATGTCTTTTTGAACTGAATCTACAGCATATATCAGTTTACTAACAGGTCATGCTCTGCTAGAAATTTTATATGGACCAATAAGCATAACAGCCATCAAAATGCAGCCTAGGGATTGCACAGAGGATAAGAACTGAAGCTGTTATTTTGTTTAAGTAGAGAAAAGGATCAATCCAAGAAGACATATCTGCCAACAACTCCTATAACAGAGGCATTTATGTACAGGTTATCATTACCAAGTAACATAACCTATTCGGTTGAAAATTTAATAACAAACTATTGGACCTGACCTTTTTTACTTGTTCATCATTTTCTCTGTAAGAAGGCATAAGATACATAGACTCTGCGTGATCCCTTGTAATGGATAATGGAGGGTCAGGAACCACATTAGAGAGCTGAGATCTGGACCGCTGCCGAAGCGAAGCTCTGTGAAGAGGACAGAAATGGTCTGTTCTTCTCAGCTCAATAACACAATACTTTCTTGTAAAGCAGGTGCAGTTTTCATACCAACTAAATCAAGATTCATTGAAGCAAATCATAGAAATCTCATGGACTTTTTCTTTCTTTTTCTATGTTCTCTCAACTTCTTGAGAAGGAAATATCTCACAACAGGGACAAATACTTTTCAAAATCGTATTCCACACCCACACTCAGACATTATCTTATATGTACCCTGCACTGTGTATTTGTTAAGTAAAATTGTGGTGTATCCTACTATATTAGCACAAGCCGTTAAGATACCAAGTCAATTCACTGTTATCACTATCAAGTAATTCAGTCCAGCAAAACAGGATGCTAAAACAATCCACCTCTATCCCTGGCAAAACATAACTCTGTAATGTAGGAGGCAGGTATTCATTTGCATATGTTTGACATGGGCTTGCCTGAAAAAATTAATAAGTGTCTAGCTACAAGACAGTTTGGCTTGTAAAATGCTTTAACTTTCATCAAGTAAAAGCCATAATAAAAATGTCCTTGTACATTGCATTGATTTCTCAAGTAATTGTACAGCAAGTCATTTTTCAAGTGACTGGACTGCAAATGCGTTACAAATATATGGCTGTACGGTAGTAATATTAAAGATGGAACATTAACACAGCGGACTAGAATTGGAGAGAAGGTAGTATGGATAGAAAGGGGAGTAAAATTAAGAGTCTCGCTGTTTATCCATGGGCCTTCAATCAGTAATGTATTGACAGATAAGGAAAGAGCATTGTTTAAGATCACTCAAACCCAAACCAGAAGTATTATTTGAGGTTACTCAACAGTAAAGAGCCATCTGTATCAACAGGAACATATGTATATACCTGATCACAAGCTGTTTAACCGTGCCAGCAGGATGTGAGCCAACCCTCGAGTCACGTCCTTAGGTGACTTATAACCATAAAAGGATAAAATGAGAAAGGGGCTATTCCCCAAATGACCATTAGAGACCCTCTGAAGAACATTCCCCAAATTGTATGCACATGCTCGACTATAAAATATACTACTTTTCATATGTAAATGATTTCTGAGAAGGGGAGGAGAATTTCTGGAATTAAAATGAATATGTATGGTTTGTACAGATAATGATAGCTTTGAAACTTTGCGTGTGTGCATGCATTAGGAGGAGTGATCCCCCATGCACCTGGTGCCAAAATAAAGTAATGCCTGCTTTCTAACACTAAAATTATAGTGTTAGAGAGTTTTCTTTTTCCCAAAGTTTCGGTGACAGTATTACCCAAGCTATTTATTTCCAAGTGAACACTGTCTTAGTAAACTTCTTGTGGCCTTTCCACCCTCTTTTACACAACAGACAGAAAAGTGATTCATCAGCACTATTGGGATTTTGGAATAGTGGGACAAAGGAAACAAACTGAGATTTACAATAATTTTCAAGACTCACCGCAAACTGGCCCGATAGCTTCCTTTGCTGAATGACTGGACTTCCTCAAGATTTGGCTCAACCACATTATTTTCTGCTGCTGTAAAATACAGTATATACAGTTCTTCACTTTGTGCTAAAATTGAATATAACCTAAAGTGCAGTGTCTCCAAGTCATAACTGGAATACTTTTAGAAGACAAGGAATGTAATACAACCTTGCTACTCAACCTACATATACCACAAGTTTTATATTTGTATTTGACATGATGAAGTTCTGAATACTAACCCAAGGACCATCTCACTTGGGATGTGACTGCTAAAGGCTGTTTCCCTATTTTAGCACTGTAATTGCTTTCTTCTTTTAAGATAATCATATCCAAGGTATGATGATTCACAAAACCACAACGGATCTTTCTATTAGATATCCATTTCCAGAAACTTTGATTCAAATCTGCCTCTAGTAAGACAAATAGGGTGGTTTCAGCGTACTCTGTAATTTGCTTGCATTTCAAATGCAGCAGGACTGGACTGTCAGCACTAAATGGAGCTATAAAATGACGGGTATTGTAGGTCAGGATTAATGTTTCAGGGCAGATCTATTTTAGGAAGGTCATTCAGTGCATATGCAGTAAAAACATTTTGGCCAGGGCTATTAATGTATTACTTCTATGAATGCTAAAATTCAGCCATAAAAGTGGAAGAAAAAAAAAAAAGAAGAAACTAGTCCTCATTAAAAAAAAATAAATAAATCTGCATTCTGTGGAATTTTACTTCATTTTATAAAAGAAAACAAAACACTTACTTTCTGTTGCTTCTCTATTAAGTGCTGTGTCTCCTTTGCTTTGCAAGGTCACCAACATGAAATAAACACCTTTCCTCTTCAAGAGTTCCTCATGAGTTCCTCTCTCCACAGCCCTTCCATGTTCAAACCCAATGATGACATCAGCAGCTTTGATAGCTGACAGGCGGTGAGCTATCGAGATTGCTGTGCGGCCAAGACGAGCCTGACGGGGAACAACAACAGCCCCATTCCCAGAACAGCAAACAGAAATGCTTGGAACCAGCACTATGTAATCTAAAGTTTGGTCAAATCCACAGGAGACTTTGTAGTAGTGTCAGCTCTCTGACTTGAACTCCATCCATAGCCCATAGCTGAGCATCTGTTTCTGAGCAAAGGGAGCTATAGATTTCTGTTAATGTCCCAATGTAAGAAAAATTATTTTCTGTCAATAATACTAAGGTTCTACTTGTGCATATGAACCAGTTATTAAGAAAAGCTTTCACTGTTTTGTTGCAATTCAGCAGCACCATCTGCAAAGTGCATTAAAAATAATTTCTGCCCTTTTAAGTCTGCTTTATGCTATGCTATAGCAAACCTTATGAAGTGCTTCTTGGACAGTAGCTTCACTTTCATTATCGAGCGCTGACGTAGCCATATCGAGTAGCAGGATTTTTGGGTTTCGTAGAAGAGCTCGAGCAATAGCTATCCTCTGTTTTTGACCTCCACTCATCTGGCTTCCACCTTCTCCAACATGAGTGTCAAATTGCTGTGTGAAGCAGATAACAAAAAGTTCTGTTAAGCTTCTGGTGAAGACTTTGGTAAAATGTCTCTCAGATTCATGCTGGGACTAGACTTAAAAAATTGACATCTTTGAAAGAAAAAAAACATTGTTAGTGCACCACATTCAAAGGAGAGCTGATGAAATAACTTCCTGCATAATGAACAACATCATCTTGGGTGAACTGGGGTTCCAACCCTAAGCCAGAAGTATGTATTCATGAAAAGGTGAAATGTTCTGGTTTGGCTCAAAACAACTATATCAGCAAAAACTGAAATGAAGAGGAAACATCTTCCCACTCTCCATCAGATGACTCACCAGCAAACTTTCCACAGAGCTGGATTTGTCTGCTGATGGTCTGTTACTCATGAACACTGTGTCTGTGATTCATGGACATCACATTATGGTGGCATCGGGTTCAGGTAGAGAATTACATAAACACCTAAAGCCTAGCATCTTGAAAGCCAGGATGGTTATATTCAGCTAGTGCCAAATCTTGTTTATTCCTCCATTTCCAGGAAATAAACAGGGGCCTTTACACGATCTTTCTATGAGTAGTTTCCTGGAAGCCTGTAAATACATAGATGGAGGATATAAAGTATGTACTGACATTAGTTAATGGTACTTGAATCCTGTCAATCAGGTTCACTGTTGTAACACGGCCCTTTGAGAAGTTACTTGGCAAAGTAACATTCTAGAGAACTAAACAGCCCAGTACTATCAAATATGGGCTTGTAAGGAGGATCCCATAGAACTGATCAAAGTCCTCTCATCATAAGGGAAGGAACCAGAGAAGAGGGAACCTCCAGCTAACTTACAGAGCTTGTACAAGGAGAGGAGGTTGTGAGGATCATTACAGATTGCTTAAAAACATATGCTGGCTAGGAGGAGTCTGAGCTTTCAATTGCTTTTGGCCTGAGCAGAAACAGATCTCCATAGCATGAAAAATACGTATTTTAAAACCATGCTATTATTATTACCATGATATTGAATGTTGTGCATATGATTCCTGAGGAACTAATTCTTCTCATTTTGTGTTTTTTTCACTTGGTGACATACACGTAGTAAGACCTAATTAACTCTAGTCAAAGGAAAGGTTGCTACCTACTATCTGTATTAATCTTCTGCCCTTCCACCTGAGCACAAATGGCTGCATGGGAGGAGGAACAGAATGATTCTCTATTTTTCCATCAAATTCTGCCAAACATTTTACAAGGCACAGCACACCTGCGGCAAGTCCATGATGAAATTGTAAGCATTGGCCTGTTTGGCTGCTTTGATTATGTCTTCCATGGTAGCCTCATCCCGACCATAGCGAATGTTCTCCGCAATCGTAGTGGCAAACAGCACTGGCTCTTGTTCAACAATACCAATTTGTGAGCGTAGCCACTGGATATTAAGGGAACGAATGTCGTGGCCATCCAGGGTAACCTACAGAAGTAAATTAAAACATGGGGGGGAAAAAAGAAAAAAAGTCAAGGACATTATCCCTTCCAGTTCGGAGACAAAGAAAGACACAATGGAAATGAAGGGCCTGTGATGCTGTGTTTCCATGACCAGTGTCAAAACCAGCTTTCATACACAAAAGAATGCAATGCAGTGGCAGTAGTATATGCTAGTTCTTGGGCTAATTGTGCTCTTTGACTTCATTTCCCAATACCTCTTTTTGCTTGGCCTCAGAAATGGTGGAAAAGTAATCATCAAAATTATGATTATATGTTTACAATAAATTTGTTCTTTGTCTTTTATGAACCCAAATACAGGTCACCATGTATGTTATTTGTGCCAACTAGGAACATGCAAATGGAATGAGACTGTTAATAGATGTGATTCATATGCTTAGCCAATCCATTACTAAATGGTAATTGCATATACTAAAGAAATGTTGTGGGATAATGAGTAAATGTTCAATACTGTGTTTTCCAGAATGGAAAATGATTTGTCACTCTTGAATTATCATATCTATAGGTACAGTCTTCACTCAGAGTTAGCACTGAATTTTTATTTTCTCTGAACATTTTTTCTCTTTCACATAATTATTTTTATAAGACTGTTCTGCATTCCCCTGAAATACACAAGAGGATATTTTGCTCATTTAAAAAAAAAAAAAAATGTTAGGAATTTCCCTTCCCACCTTGGATAGGAAACCATGTCATTCTTTGCAGTCTCTAAGGCTAGAGAAACACTCACCATGCCATCAGTGGGGTCATAGAAACGCTGGATGAGCTGTATTGTTGTACTTTTTCCAGCTCCACTAGCTCCAACAAAAGCTGTTGTCTCCCCTGCTTTAATAACCATATTAAGGTTATCCAAAATCTGGAGAGAAAAAGAAAAAAGAAACAGAATCTATCCATTCTAATTCTCTCACAGTCATACAACCAAGTGGGTATATTCTGTATCTTAAAATGGAGACTCAAAGCAATTTTACAAAATTCAGAAAAATATTGTGAAGAAAGAGGAAAAAGAAAGCCAAATATTTTTACATTATTTGAAAAGTTTATAAATGCAGAG